GCATGAAAGCATGCACCCCACATGCATGAGTACAACCCTTCAAGCTGGTGGGGGCAGTGTTATGGTTTGGGGCATGTTTTCCTGGTATGATTTGGGCCCTTTAATTTGTGTGGAACAACGTCTGAATAGCACAACATACCAAATTATCGTTGCTGATCAAGTTCATGGTGTATCCCAATGGCTTCTTATAACAAAACAATGCACCATGCCACGGTGCTCGTATTGTGCAGGAGTGGAGGGAGACTTTACCTTGCTTAGGTGGCCCCCACAATCACCAGATCTCAATCCAATTGAGCATTTGTGGGACGAAGTTGAAAGAGCCATCAGGCAGCTGGTTCCACAACCATCAAATCTCACAGAACTGGACAGTGCTATTCATCAGGCATGGTGTCAGATTCATCGCATCACCTTTCAACATCTCGTGGAGTCAATGCCAAGAAGAATCGTCCCAAGAATTGAAGGCAAAAGGTGGCCCAACGAAGTACTGATGGGGTGGTCATAATAATCTGACCACTCAGTGTAGAGTTTGCAATGCCCACAGCCCACCCATCCTCACCCCGTGCACCAACGCTTTGCAGCCTCCACTTTTCTTTCAAAAGATTTTGGAGTGTGACGGTGTGAACTTGTGCCCATTTAACCAAAAGATTTTGGACCAGAAAATCTGGCTAAAATTGGTGTTCCAATTCATTCCAGTGATGTTCAGTAGGGTTGAGGTCAGAACTTTGTTCCGGTCACTCAAGCATCTCTACACCAAACTCATCAAACCATGTCTTTATGTAGCTGGCTTTATGCACAGGGGCAAATTCTTGCTGGAAGAGAAAAGGGCCTTCCCCAGATTGTTACCACAAGGTTAGAAGCCAACATATTTGTAAAATGCCTTTTCATGCTGTGGCATTAACAGTACCCTTAACTGAAAAACTCTTCAAGTCAATAATTTAGAGGGGTATCAACATCATTTTTGTCTTTCAGTAGAATGGAAATAACAATCAACCACATACTGCATAGAATCACTTATTTTATTGTACAAAGTCAACTCTACATTAGCCAACAGCATCCTTTTTTTACAAACACAGTCAAGAATCAATTGGAATCCCAAATACCTTCCATAAGTCACATTATTGTGAACATTTACATTTCAGTGGCTGTGTTTAGCTGGTAAACCATCAAACTTCTATGTGCCTTTGCACATCAAGCTATTTGGAAACGCAAGGCCACTGTTCAGATGATCAAATGCTGACAAACATATCCATGCCATGTAATAAAATGCCATAAATGATTATCTAATCAAACCATCATGAGCATGTAACACACAAGCAACCTCCCTAGCTATATTGTCAAGCTATTCTGGGATTGTTGTGAATGCTGGCTATGATAATTGGCTGCGAGTAAAGCATGGAATTCATGTTTACAATTCCTAGCCATTTGAATGACGTTTTCCCAGCTTAAAGGGTGTGTAGTTCCCAAAAGTTACTGGAATTATCACCTACTGTTTCCTTTCTAATGAAATTACCATGTAAAGGCATTCCAATCCTAACCATAAATGTATACATACAGTATATTAAATATTTGATTTTCTATCAAAACTTTAAAGATGTTTGCTCCACAAACCTAAAGGGAACCTGTCATGAGAAAAATGCCTGCCCTGCCATCCCTGGTCCTTATCTGAAATTACTTCCTACAGTACAATCATGTTGGATAAGGATGATGAACACTGCTTGTGTCTTCATCAGCTAAATCCAGGCTTGATTGAAGAAGCTTAGGGATTAGCATGAAAAACAGAGATTAAGCATCTTCAGCATGGGGCTTCATACAACTCGCTCACCAGGTTCTGTTATAATCTTATAATACACAATTTTTAGTAAGCAAAACATGGTACATGTGGTATACATACATTTATGTCATAACTACTGTATATCAATAAAAGGGCTTATATTTAGCTATTATATCTGGCCAATCCTATCAACAGTAAAAAAAAAAAGGTGGACTAAAAAGTGCAGAGTTTTTTCGGACTCTAAGGGGCTGATTTATAAATCTTTTGCCTAGCGTATAGCTGGGCAAATGCTGTTTGCCTGGCACTACTGCCACTAGATGGCATTGACAAGCATTCTGAGGAATTCCTATGCTCCTCTGTGCCATCTAGTGGCAGTAGTGAAATGCGAACAGCATTCACCCAGTGTAATGCTCTCCACACGGCACTACTGGCACTAGATGGAGCCAAGGAGCATAGGAATTCCTCAGAATGCTCCTCAACACCATTTAGTGGAGGTGATGCCATGTGAATGCCATTTGCCCAGATATGCTGGATGGAAGAACTACAAATCAGCCCCAAAATGTACACACACATACTGTATGCCACAGTGTGATTACCACACGGCATCCATTGCATTGTGACCAAGTATGGTTAAATCAGAAGCAGGTATGTAGCTGGGATTGCTGACTATACCATGGATTTGTTCAAACCTCTCTTTGGTGGGGTCAGCAATCATCACCTTTGGTCGGCATGATCTAAGAATTAACTAGCAACAGCCAGATTTAAACACAGCTATAATGAGCATATATATATGAAGTATATATATTCCTACACTTATGCTGGGCACACAAATTACAATCTGATTGTACAATATCTGTATAATATCTTCTAGATCTGCTAACATCCTTGTAGCTTGAATGCAATTTTTATTCATTCAGGTAGACCCTTACGGTTTATTTATCTTGGTAGATCTAAAGGACATGAAACAATCAGAATGTAGCAGTTATGGCCAACTTAATATTAAATGTGTTTACTTTCAATTTAGAAGACTATTTTTTCTTTTTTATAAAGTGCACATCACTTATTTACTAATACTTATGTTTGTGCCTTATATATAGAATGAAGCTAACAACTGAAGTAGCCATTTTAGGCAAAATGAAGGCTAAGAACACATCTGAATGGCAATTGTTTTGTACATTTCCTTTTTTCTTTGAAACCGTATAACCCCTCCCAAACGTTCTTCTTTAACAGCTTGCCTCAGAAGAATGTTTTACCGCTGGGTGACACTCTGTTGGGTTGGAGCCTAAAATATGAAAACAAACGTGATTAAATGTGACTCATTACCACGCTAGATTTCAAAAGCCATATTTAATGTTGCATAGGAAATGAAAACATCAACTGGACTTTAACCTGCTGGGAAACACCATGCGTATAATCCTTATAAAATGAACAATAAAAGTGGATGTGCATGAAAATGGAAGGTACAATTTGATTACAGTCCCTCATCCATCAAATGCAGGAGCACATTCTCCTAGGAGCTTAAGTATTCAACTTTCTCAGGACACACTGTGCCATCACTGGCACCTCTGGGTAATAGAGTCCATGATAAATATTGTTAATGTTGTTTGGAAAATCTGGTTTTGTAGCAACTTTCCTTTCAAGTTTTTTTTTTGGGAGGGGGAGTAAAAGCTTCTTTTTTTTTTTAATAAACTGGAGTAAGAATTTAAAGCTAATGGTTGTGATAGCTCTATTTTTCCTTTGCTCAATAGGTTCAATTCACTAAGCTGTAACAATTGTTTACCAGGAAAATGTTCAACAATGGCAGCCACTGAAAGCTGTAATTATTATCACGTGGCAGAAAATACAAATCATTATAGCAAATAACGTGTTAGAACTTTGTGCATTAAACCTGATTGATATATTTATGGTGAAGCTAGCTAAAGACTCTCCCTCCCCACATATATATATATATATATCATA